AAGGTTTAAATTAACAAGGCTTTTTAGCGCGCTAAGCTTTGCATTAACTTTAGCTTTAAACGGACTTCAGATTTTAATTCGTAATCCCATTTCAGCGTAAATGGGTTAAGTAGAAAAAAGAAGCAACTTACTGCGGCTTAGTCCTGAATCCTCTGCGCCCTCGGCATTTATAATATCTCTTACTTTAATATCCGGTTGTAATTATAAATAATTATTTAGTAAATTACGACTTAGCATATTATTTTAGAAAGTTATCAACTATTTTAACTATGTTAGCTTAAACAATTTATTATGAATTAAACCAATTAAATAGTAGTATGTATTTACATAACTAAGTATACGGCAAGAACTATATAGATCAAGATATATAATCATGGAGGTTTCTACACATTGCTACGTGTGCTATCAACATTTTAAATATTTATTTAATAACATATGTCACAGGTCACATAGATTCCATTTATTAGAAATATTTATCGTTCGTTTCTGAGACCAAAATCCGTGTATAAAACATATCGCCATCTCTTACGCTCATTGACTATGGTCTGCGAAATCAACTATTAACGCTTAAAAAAACGTTTAGTCGGGAATAATCATACTTAACATTACTGAGTGTAGCAGTTTGTGACACAAGTCATGATTTCGCCGGACACGCGACTTTTTCGCGAACGTCACAAACGTGTTTGTCAATTTTGCCGCGACTTTGACAGAATGAGTATGTTCCATTGTTTTAATTAACATCCATGTTCCAACGTGACCGTCTAAAGTTCGTATGTTTTTTTAGGCCTCTTATTAATGAAAATTGTTTAGGTTCGTATGTTAACTTGCTAGAGGTGGGTATGCGTGTTGTTCAATTAAAAATAACATGCAGCTGGAGACTTGAATGTTTGAAGTGCTGTTTTACATTTTGTATAAACACTTAGCGAATTCGCGCGTAAAACCATGATCCGCATTGTACCAACGAGCACTTTTGAGTTTAGGACATAACGTAGTAAAAATACATCAGTGAAGGTTTTTTTTGTTAACGAATCATAGAACAGTACTTATAAATGTGATATTCAATATCATATTTGTTCAAACAAAACATAATTATTTCTTATAATTCGTCTCAGGTTCGAACGTCTTCGATACTGTCGTACAATTCTCGTAGAAAATGTAACAATAATAAATAATTGTCGGTCCGTCACAAAGGTTCGGCTCCGGTCCGTCACTTTGTCATGCTCCGGCAATCTATTAACTGACAAAGCCCCCAGTGTGCGCACTGCCCACTGCCCACCCCATAAACACATCAAATATTTATGAGAAAACCTCCTACTAGACCGCATCGATACAACAGAATTAGTTTCTTACTGCTTTATTTTCGAATGTAACTGTCGTAAACTTAAACTTTGATGCAATACATTTTTGACTGATTAAATTAGCAAATGCGCATTATTGAAGTATGATTTCCCATTCTTTGGATTCCACTGGTTTAAAAGATTTTGCTGTTTGTAAAAATAAACGAGCTTTCCTAATTTAGTTATCATAAACTGAATAAAATTTTCCATAAATTTTTATTTACTTTATATTAGTTATATAATTTACGTAATTATAGCTATTTGTGTGTTTGTACTTATCGCCATAACGTAAAAAGAAAATATTCAAACAAAAGTTGTCCAACGCGTGCAGATGTGCGCAACGCGAGGGTTGCTGCAGTGCTAGCGGTGGCGCTACTGCGGCCCGCTGATAAAAGAATAACACCTTGTTTTAGTGCGCCCCTGCTTGGTCCTAGCTTATTCGCAATTCCGTTAGAAAAACTGCACGACCCGAATTTCGTTTAATAAAGCAATCCTATATTGGTTTTTTGGCAACTTTGTTATTTGCAGTCTTTGATATGTTGTTCCTCTTTTACTGCAATCAATAGAACAAAATCTTTTTTTATTTCAGGAAAGTACAGTTTAATTTGAGTTTTTTATTTTGTATGAAACTTAAAGAAATTGTGTACTTGACTAGTACCCATTTATTAAAGCAAAAAAAATGCAAACTTGAATACGGTGCGGTACTGACTGACATCTATATCGTTTATCATTTACTTGCTTGATAAATCAATTGCGTACAGAACTCATTACATTATTTGATATCGTAATTAAAACAAAATGAAGCTGTTTGCGCTACAACCGCACTTTAGTTACCCGGGCCGGCCGGTTGTCCGGTTAATTGAGCGTTGCGCTGTGTGGCGGTGAGGCGGTGAGGCGCAGAGCTGATTGGTCGACGCGGTCACGTGGCATGTCATCGCCCGGGCAAGGCGCTTCATTACCGGCTTAAATTAGCCCCGGCGCTAACAAACCGGATAACCAGAGTTTACTTTCACTTATCGTGATCGTGTTTTAGATGTTTATCAAAATTAACGTACAAGCAGTTTACCTATATGTATATGTAAACACTTATACATTTGTAGATTTAACCGTGTAATAATTGTGCCGATACTTAAAAAAATAAATTTGCTTTCCTCAACTCATGATTTTTGCTTGACAAGAATGTCTTTCTTGGCGTTGTAACGAATTTATTTAGTAATAAGATTTTATTGATACCATAAACGATAACTTTACAGAGAGACAGACATATGACGTAATCGTTCGCCTAGCAATGTTATTTCAAGACGACATTACGACGCTGTTTATAATGTGAAGTCACAGGTCGCAACAAACCGCATCTGTCCGCAAGACGAATGCGCACATTCTCGTGTCGTTTGCTCGTGCCCTCTCGCGAGCGCACGAGCAAACACCGCTGATGTAGAGTGGCTATCAATCCCACTGCTGCTGCGTGTTCATATTTATGTCATGTTGTGATTATAAATGAACATATGTTGTAGTGACAATGTTTATTTGTTATTTAACTTTGTCACAACGACAACGACAACATATACTTGTTAAGATAATTAAAAGCATTTTACTTAAGAAGTTTAGCAGCAGCAGGCGCTCTTGATATAAACTTATCAGTACCAACCACGGAAATAAGGGATAACGACAGTACATAACATTGCAAATTGCTAGTCTGATTAATTTTTCTCAAATATATATATATTGTAATTACACCTTAAACTACATTTGAAAGGCATTCTCCCATTAAATGTAAAAGCTACGCTCTAAAATAATTGAATAGCTACGCCATTTTACATATATCCGTGTTTTTGTTTCTGTAATGTTATTTTATTATTGTTATCAAATTAAGCGTTAAGCTTACATAAAAAGCGTTGCATAAAATAGTACGTATAAGTAATATTCAGTTTAACGCTCTAACGTAGCAACGATCTTTAAACTTATCTGATACGTCACAATAAGCTAAAACGCTTTCCATTCCCCTACAATTTTCTCTTATTAGGCGGTTAAGTCACGCATCGACATCACTTAGCATAGCGTGTAGGGAAAGAGTTCCCCTCACATCAAATTCTCGCATCGTTTAAGTCAGTTCCCTCCAGTTCCCGGCAGATCGCGGCAGTTCCCGGCAGATCCCGGCGGCGTCAAGTGGAATAATATGTTGGCAGCGGCACAGGGGAGCTT